TAGCGGTAGCCCTGTTTGTGTAGCTTACTGGTAATGAAAATATTTCGCTGGTTAATATCCTTCACGTTGCTACAAGCCCTAGCGAATATAATTAACTGAGATTAATAAACCCCGTAAGATGTTGCATGCGGTACGTCTCCAGCCAAATAAGGATAATTTACTATACTAAAATCAAAGTCATCTCTTTTATCATAGATTTTCGTGTGAATAGAATTGTTTTTGATAGTGATATGAAGATCCAAAAATGATGTAGTTAAATTTCAAGAATTTGTTTTATTAAGTTTTAGCTTAGTAGGATAAATATTAGACACCATTTGATCAAAATAAGAATTATCTAAATTAAAAATGTCATCAAGGTATCTGGAAGTGTTATTAAATGCTGATATAACATCTTGTTGTGTGTTTGCTGAGAGACTCAACATAAAATCTATTTCATAGCAATATAAAAACAAATCGGCGACCAGGGGTGCACAATTAGTACCCATAGGAATTCCTATGATTTGTTTGAATAGGGTATAACCAAACCTGACATGAATATTGTCTAAAAGAAAAGAGAGTGCTCTACAAACTTCGTCACAGGTCCACATAGTATACTGTTTTACAAAACAGTTTGTAAAGAAGGCTTTTTGAGAGTTACATGCAAGAAATGTAACTTTTTCCCATGCAAAGGTTTTCTGAATAAAGGAAATTAGTTTATCATTAATTAAATTATGTGGCAGTGTAGTAGAAAAATCGTATGTACTGACAGTTGAAGCTTGATAGTTCTTAATTTTCAATTTATCCAGAATTTCACCGGAATTCTAAATGAACCAAAATATATGTTTGCCGATATTTTCGTACACTTTATCGCAGTATCTAATTACATGTGTTTTAATGTAAGGCTTATATGGTATTCTATGATTAAAGGTTTTAAACATCTTAGTTCAAGGACAAGCTTATACATATAAACTTATAAAAAATATTGTAATAATGTATTAATAATTATTTCACTGTGAATTTTAAGACTATTTATCAACTGACAGAGTGACTTAGATGATCAACATATGACAGAGCAGCTTAATGATCATCAGAAGAGAAGAGTGACAGTTTCAATCAACAAAGCTACAACAAGTAAGAATAAATTAAACTAACAAATATTAGGGCATAAGGTATAAATAGTTTTCATAAATTTCATTACCAAGAATCATTTTAACAATCAAGCCAAGTGTAATCTACATTTGATAATATGGCAATACCATGGGGTGATTTTTACTGAAAGTTTAATTGTACTGTTAAATGGGAAATTTTAGTTCGATGTATATTATGAACTGACACTAGTGGACAAAATATCATAGTAATGCTTTAAGATACACCTAAATTGTGCATAAAAATAGGTTAGGGCTACTTGCTATAAGTGTACTAAGAAGGATATTTTATGCATCAAATACAAGTATGTAACATTTTAGCATTATCATCATCTAAGACAATTATGAACATTTTAACCTTATCATCATCAAAGACAATTATGAACATTTTAAACATCATCATCTGATTGTTATTTTAGCTAAAGAACGAAACTTCTAAAAACAATCTAGAAGACTTACCTAATCAATATACGCCTTATTGCTTGTAAACGTTTAATTATTCCGATAAAACAATGATATAACGTTATCTAAGTCGTTATGTAAAATATTTTTAAAAAAAAAACACGAACGATAGTAACCTTATTTATTTTCCTAAAATAGATTTTTAAAAATCTAGAGCGTAACTAACTTCCTTGTACTCAAACCATATATCAAAGGTAACACTATACAGTAGGCGGAGTTTATTATCATATTATGACATCACAAAATAATGGGTTTTCATTTGTAATTTTTTCTAATTTATTTATATCTATAAAAAATTTACATTGACATGGAATTACTGTAGTTTCGTTTTCGTTTAGGTAAGAATTATTGCTTTATAATTGATATCAATTTATAATAGATATTTATTTTGTGATTGTTTACATAGACACGTTATGATGTATTTTATAACAATTAATATTTATAACAATAAATATACAGTCATTTGATACCGTTGCCCGACTTATGTCTTTCCCTATCTAGTCAACCCTAACCATTTGTGTAGGTGTTTAATTTTAAACGTCCTTCGATTCTGTAAACGGATAGAGACGTAAATAAACATTGATAGTAAACGTTCCTTTGAATAGTTAAAAAGTCATCATTTTAAATATAGTCCCCTCTGAAACAAACTAAAGGTAAATCGTTTTACTTTTTACAACAAATGTAAAAACTGAGACCCCACAAATATCACTAAATTTGTTTATCGATATCAATACTGACCCATTATGAGTGGCAATGCCTTATGGTATTTCAAATAAGGATACAATCATAGACGCTTGGGGGTCAGATCCTGTCCCCCAACGTGATACGCCCCTGTAAACACTCTACCAAAACTATTTTAATATTTAAACACGAATGGTACATCTATTACAACGATAAAAATGGTTTTCAAACAATTTTTACATATATGAAAAAATACCGTATACCATCAAGTCTCGATAAAGTAAAGATTGCAGACTCCAAAATGTAAACACGATAACCCTTGTATAATAGAACCTTTATAAATCATTATTAAATGAACCTTACCGTGACTTTTCCGGTGTAAATCAATAGAAAATAGAATTATCTCCTAGAATTATCTCCATTATATCCTCATGTCCAAATTCAAATATTTAAATTGTACATTATATAGAATTAAAAAAAACACTTGGGGAAACAACACACTGTGCATCTTGGTACAAATAAATGTCTTTAAAACGAGCGTTTGCAGACAGCTGATACGCGGGTAACCTAATACGCGGGACATGAGAATATAATGCTCGAGTAGATATCTAGTCGAAAGCATGTACACCGTTTGGATACCGGCTTGACAAGCGCTCCACGCAGAGCCGGGATCAGGTCTCGTATTGGTTGGACAGAACGCAAAATTTACTTTCGGTTTTAATTAAATGTTGATTTTTATATAACAATGAGATGTATAAATGTTTATTCTGATTGCATCTAGGAGATAATTCTATTTTCTATTGATTTACACCGGAAAAGTCACGGTAAGGTTCATTTAATAATGATTTATAAAGGTTCTATTATACAAGGGTTATCGTGTTTACATTTTGGAGTCTGCAATCTTTACTTTATTCCAGACCGCAGGGTATTGGTACGCGCATGGAAGAGCACGTGACCTGTTTTCGCTACATGGAGGAGCATGTGATCTGTAAACCGTACACGATTGGTTAATTGACCTTTTCGAAAACCTGGCTAAATACCGTTTGTCGGTACGTTATGGAATTACCTCTAGGGAATTAGTCAGAATTACACCTAATTAAGAACAAAAAACTATTACGTGATATTTCAAATTTTCTATAATTATTTTACCGTTTAAGGAGGGAAAAACTTGAATGATGTATTTGAAAATTATCATTGTATCTCATATTTTACAAACAATAAATTGTTTATACTGAAAATCTACAAAATTAAAATATTCGTAGTGGCATCTGTCATAATAAATAGAGATATTTTCTGCGTAAACTTGTGTGTTTACTTTATTTTATTTTTTTTGCTTGGAATTATTCATAAAATGGTAGGCTTATTTAATCATTTTCTTAAAAAGAAATACATGTAATGTTCGACCTTCTCCGGTCATCAACGGTCACCAGTCTTTTATTTTGATCGATTATTGTAAACTATATTCCTGATACAAACGTTTATTTATTCCCCTCTCCCAAAACAATGCTGAAAATAGTAAAATGAACTATCTTTATATCATTCCCCGCAGGAAACCATTTTACTTGTTGAGACTTGGTGGCATACGGTATTTTTCATACATGTATATGTAAAAATTGTTTGAAATCCATTTTTATCGTTGTAATAGATGTACCATTCGTGTTTAAATATTAAAATAGTTTTGGTAGAGTGTTTACAGGGGCGTATCACGTTGGGGGGGGAGGATCTGACCCCCAAGCGTCTGTGGATACAATCAAAACCACAGGGGTCCCACACAGTGTACTGCTTGATGGTGACCATCATAAAGGGAATCAGAATAGAGTTAGTGTTTATCATTTGTGGATTGAATAAGCTATGCAACGCAGTATACTTTGTGGAAATGTTTTATTTAATTAGAGGAAAATCTCGCATGAATTTGTGGGTGATCGAAAATTCACTATTTACCGAGTAATTAATGCCCCTTGTCTATATTTACATATTATAAGTTTATGACTTAAATCTCATTTTAAGGTCACCATCAAGCAGTATATACCATCCAAACACTGTGTGAGGTCCCCTGTGATCAAAACAGAGTAATTATTTTCAGTATAGATCTTATTGGCTTAAATTCATGGCATTCAAAGAAAATGTATTTGCCAAACTTTCAGGAATACTTTGCTTGCAAAAAAGGCATTAAGTGGTGGAAATAACAATAATTGTTTTGTCAAATGAGATGGTTCCAATTTCAAATTTAAGTTGTTTAATTGGAATGAACGTGTCATTTGATATGATCCCGCTAAATCAGCATGGCATTAAAGATTTAAAAACATAATTCCAGCTAATAAATATGTAAGTGTTTAACTCAGCATTTATTCCATTAACAGTCGGGCATACTTCCTGATCGGGAAACAAGGGAATAATTCCCCCTTATACCCCCGATCGGAAAGTGTTTTTTTTTTAATCTTTTTTTCGTAGTTCTGGCAAAATGGCTGGTGCATAACAGTTTTCTACCCACTTCAATATGAATATCACCCTTTAGTGCAGAAAAGGTACATCTAAATTCCTATCGATTCTGTATATTTCCTTATATGACATTAGCGCTGATTTGTTCCATGAAGCATACTCAAAACAGTTAAAGTGAACCTGTGCATTTACAAATACAGTATCACTTTATTATTACACGGATCCATTATGATATTGCTGAACAAAGCAACCTTTCGTATTTTGAACAATTAGGGGTCTAATACTACTTGGAAGATGGGGAATCTGTTTAGTAGATGTGTGCACACTGAAGGTACAGCTCAACATCAAAATACATATGAAAGGAACAGCATTGGAAAAGACGACAGTAAACGTATGTAAATATTTCTTTATAACTATTAGAAAACTCCCAGTTTTAAGGTATCGTTAACATTAAAACTAAAAGTTTGTCACATTTGTCCATGTTGACAACGTTTTATCCCGTCCTATTATTGGAGACGCCCGAATATGCAAAAATTATTGGAATTGTTAAATACAGATAAAGAAAAATTAACTCGAAAACTTGCAAATTTTGTATCTAGAGCTTTTCAGATTAGGAGAGAAATTATATATAGTTCGTAAGCAGAGTTAAATAGTTATATAGATTTATAGTTATTTATAGTTAGTATACAGATATTGTGTATGTTTCTTGATATGTGTATGTTTCTTGATATGTGTATGTTTCTTGATTTGTGTATGTTTTCTTGATATGTAAAACAGGTAAAATTGATAAAGTATTAATGTATTAAAGATACACTAAAGTGATATAAATTACATAAGTTGACTTTGTGTTTTTAATATTGACAAGGTCAACTTTATCATACAAGTTAGGTACTGTATCTTACTTATACACAATCATTCTTTTTGCTTTATATCTTGATTGTACCTGGATTGATATCAAATGTGTAAACAAACTTTTATTTCGTGTGAATGTAAAAGTAATATGTTGATCTTGTGTTTCGTTTCGACAAGATCAAGATATTATTATTGACAAGAATCCCTCACTTATTTTTGATGAAATATCTTTTGAGAGTTAAGTATATAGTATAGGTGCAGTTGCGTGTATTCATAGTAGTTATTTTTTCATGTAATGGGGTGAGTTTGTTATACTATATATTGCATGTTATTATCAAATGCTTATATAATTTAGACTAAATGTGCTTATAGAATAGAGTTTCGATTTTCATTTTGTGCAATGTGAAATTTCACATGGGTATATGTTACATTTTCCTCGAAATTAACATTTTATGCGGTACAGTATGATATAATTTTCGATTGAAAGAACCGTAGATGTCTTGTTATAAAATATCTGAAAAAATTCTCATAGTAAAATTAAAGTTATACCCAAGTGGAATTTGGTAAGAATATCTGATGTCATACTAATTAGGAAGACATTTAATTATTTGTAAACCTTCTCCGCTGTTTAAATTGTTTTGTACATTTATGCTATATACTGTCTTGCCATATTAAAATGCATTGTATATCCTCATGGGCTATATAGCCTTATGGAATATTGAAAATAAACTTATCAAACTTATCATGTTACCGAGATGCTATGACCGAGATATAAAATTCATTTAAACATCTTAATGGACTTGTTCCATAACAGTGTATTTCAAATTAAATTTCAAAACGAGCATTCACCATATCATATATTATATCAGTGCGCCAAACTCTAAAATTACACTTTTATTTATCCATCAAATTACATTTCATTACACTTAAATTTTACTTATTTTATCCGTCAAATAGCGCTACATGGCTACATTTAACCGTAAAATATATATAATACTTTGTAACTTTAAAACTGTATTTATCCATCAGTTTACAATATTTTGTACATTGCAGGTATTTACACTCACATTTATCCATATTATTTCAGCAAGAAAATCAAAACATGTACGAAACGACAGCAGAGAAAACGTTACTACTTCTACCAGCGTAGAAATAAAGAACTTCAGTCTTTCTATCGGGGAAAACGCACAAAATGTAACGATCAACCACCTCAGCGGAGGTAAACTATCAAAGAAGTCTAAAACAAAACAATCTACGAATGGTAAGGAGTATAAAACACTGCGAATAAAGTATGTGTGTTTTCGACGTATATTTAATCTTATAAGTCACTGGAAATTACATTCGCTACGGATACCTACTTTACAAAATACCATAAAGCTTTACCATTTATTATCCTATTTTCGAAATTTAAAGTTTATTTTGAAGAAAAATACTTGTTTAATTCAAATATCTAATTCATTTTTGAAAGGTACACTTTATCTGTCCGCAACGACGATTAAAAAATTAACTTTACGAAATCCGCGGTAAATTTACATTTTTATATAAAAAGCAGGTATTTGAAATTTATTATTATGGTAACATAATAAATTCAATTTCAAAATAAAAAGAAAAAAGCCGATGTAAGTTATTCACAGAAGATCAAATATGCAATGTTTAAGATTTATTGGGTTTTGTAGTCAAATTTATTAACGCACAATTGTTTTACGGGTAATGTATTGCGGGCTTTACAATTCGCTAAACACGTGAAGAAAATTTATTCATTTTTTAGTACAAAATATTGCCGAAATTTTAATATTGCCATATTCATAGAATATTTGAATTTTATTCATCATTTATATCATTATTATTTTTCAAAAGTCGGTGCAGTGAAGTAGACAATCATCAAGTACTCTCGTGTGGCTTTCTCGATTCCGGCATTTTTAATGTCACTCGTATATTTTTTATTATTCTTTTTTTTTGAATGCATGTAGAAAGAAATTTCTGATATTTTTAATGTAACGCTAGAAAAACAAAGAACATCTTTACAGTTTGAGTCAGTATTATGCGAAATAAAAGTAACTAAAAAGTAAAAGTAAATATAACTTTTGATTATTTTTTTTACACATCGCTTAAATTTCTTTGAAGTTTAATTACTTTTGAAGGGGGTTAATTACCAGGTAACAAGTGATAATTGAAAAACCTTATTTTCAAACTTTCATTAACCAGGTTACATGTGATAATTGCAACACTCAATCTCCAAAAATAGAATTTGAATGTATATTTTGTATGTGCGCGGTCTTTAACTACAGTCCATGGTATCTGTGATAAGAAAATGATTCTGAAGAGGATATATATAAATACAATGTAAATCTATTTTCTTTATTAACATTTATAAATGAAATAGAAAATATACAACTAAATTTGTATAGCCCCTTCTTTGTAAAAATAATGAAAATAAACATATGACAAATAAATCATTTGACGTGAATTGTAAAGGATAACTATGAAAAAATATGTTTCAAAATAAAAAAAAATATAGAAAACAGCTGTTCTGTATGCCAATAAAAGTTTCTTCCTTGCCAATCTAATGAATTCATCTATATAAGAACGCTTGTCTAGAATAATCTGAAATATATTTAATACACTAATTAGTAGAATATTTACTATATTTATACTAATATACAGGTAATCAAATAAAAAATGTACAAATCATTTGGAAATAATTCACAGAAATAAAGACAAATTTCAAACATGATTTTCTTAAACAGTTTTTAAGCAAACAAGAAACATTTTTTGAGATGCAACCATTTAACCATGTGAAAATAATTATCTTTATCTGAATCGATGTAATAATTTGTGATTGAAGTTAAATGGCGTCAAAGTGTAGAGAGTATGTCTTTACCAATAGGCCAATAATTTTTAGATTAGCTACTTTTTTAACTCAGCGTTCTATCGGCATATTTTCATATATTTATTCTTTAACGGCAAAACATAATACTGTATCAATACATTCATATGTTTATATTTTTTCAAAATGCTGCAATAACACCACATACTCTTGTGAAAATCTGTCATATTTCGCTCTCCGCGCGTTCCGCCATCTCTCATTCTGTCCACCTTTATCCGATGTGCGATTCTGCGCATGCGCGCGACGAGACTTTAAGCTAAACGAAAGTGTCCGATCCTTGTAATATAAATCCGTGCCTTAACCCACGAGTTATACCTAAAATGTATCACAACAGATAATGCAATTATCATAATATTCTTAATACACAATTTGTGTAATAAATAAATTTCAGCCATAAATTTATGCAACACATGCGTTTATTTTGAATTGTGTTTTGCAGAGAAAACGAGGCCTTTTGAGAGTTATTATACAGAGTCGAGTGCAAGGGAAGAAGAACGTCGTCAGTTTACATCACCATGGGGCCAGGATCCAGCACAGCCTCCCGGTGGTAATTTCATAGATACACGAGAATTACACATTAAGGAATACGTGTTCGAGTCAGGTGTAAGGAACGATGCTGCACGTTGGGTTTGCATGATTTGCTTCCCAGGTGGTAATGGTACCGGGTTTCGTGTTGGACCTAGACATATCATGACTGCCAATCATGTTGTGAAACATATTTTAGGCACAGGTATTGAATGTTCACATTAATTTGTTTAAAATATACAGCTTTTGTTGTTTAATTGTCAGTATGCCAAAAATGAAATTTTATCAACACTGCAATTATAATTCCTCGCGCCTGCTCATCAAGTTTTGCAGCTACCAATATATACAGCCGTACTTTTATAGTCTGGAAAAGCACTTTTTATAAAATATATGACAATATCATTATACTATTATTGCAATATTCTAAACAGAAACTAGAACCACATGAAAGGGTGACCCTTGAGCCAGATATTCCGATCTGACAGCTGGTGTAATTATATTATAATCAGATTTGTAAAGCATGATACAATTGTTTAAACGTTTTTTTAATGGAAGTGTTTCAATGAAGTGAATAGATTATACTTATTCTAGAACATTATGTTTGATCAATGTGAAATAATTCGTTGTTATCGGTAAAATAATAAATACAAGAAATTAACCTAAGTATTAGATATTGAAACAAATTCTTTTGATTTATATATTTTAGGCTATCAGCAAGTGGGACATACTCGAGATCCTTTCGCGTCATTACAAAGTCCGGGCGTTCATGCCATTTTCAACTTTACAACTGACGGGCCTGTGTCAGAGAGACAAAAATTTCGTTTTAAAGCGGTTGTACCATTTTATGATGATGCAACTGATTGTGCTGTTCTTGAACTAGAGGACAATTCTATGGGTACTGAAATGCCCCTTTCTTTCACATTCTTCAGCTTACCGAGACTTAATAACAGATTCACTTTTATCGGACACTCGTTGGGAAGTCGTATGGAATTTAACCACGTGGACAGGATAATTGACAACAGTGCTGAAACGCAAAGGGACTTAATTCAAGTAAAACAAAGTAGCTTGCAACATTCTGGCAAAGATTATGAGATGCCTCCTCATAATATTCTGACTAACCCTAATAGATTTCTGTTTCATTGCAAGTTTACAAAGGGGGCGTCCGGATCACCGGGCGTAGTTATATTGCCTGATGGGCGTGTTGTAGTTGTGACAATGCTATTGTGCGGACTTCCGGATTGGTATTATGACCCTGACGTTCAGGACAACGTGAAAAACAGTTGGCCGCAAGAATATTGTGTGGAACAAGGGGTTAATCTAAAATCTGTCTATGAGAAGATGTCTCGCGACAACGCAACGCTTTGTCAACAAATATTCTTTGATCATCTAGATTCTATTCCTAATCCAAATATATAACATTGTCAATTTCCAATTGAACTGTTCTGAATTTGTTTCATTAGACAGAACGCCATAAATATAAATATGATGATCCTCATTTCTATTTCATTTTCATGAATATTTTATGCTGAAAAGTATACCCAGTGTACGTAACATCTTTTCTTTAACATGGTGGATGATCACGTGACTTGTTTACGGTATTTCAACGTCACCGCACCGGAGGGATGCATTATGGGTATAAAATGGTGAACACGCTTTTTTTGAACCGTAAAAGTGAAACTTATTCGAATCGCATTTAACTGGATTTAGACTATGGATTTTATTACATGTTTTGCGGCAGGGGCTACAGCAGGTCCCATGGACCGTACCCAGCACCGTTCTGAGTCTTCACATGGACATAACAGCGAAACACCAAACAAAAGAAGTCACAATTCGACGGGTGGTAGTTCTTTACACAGTTCGCCATATTGCCAACCGGCGACGGCAGGTAATTACCAAAATATGGACATTTCAAATTTAAAACAGTTGCCCTTAGATGATAAAGTAAATGCAATTTTGGAAGGAATGTCGAATTTGGGTTTCTTGAAGCAAAGAATTGATAGTGTAGAATCACAAGTTTATGTAAATTGCGCTACACATGAGGTTACGGATCAGCGATTGAAACTTATGGAGTACAAATCAATAGATGCGGAGGTCCGTCTGCGTGAATGTAACTTAATTATAACAGGGCTCGCAGAAGTCGAAAACGAAGATAATTCCAAAACTGTATAAATTGTTGAAACATTGTTCTCCGAAAAGCTTTCGATTGAATGTGGGATATATATCTATGAAGCTGAGAGACTTATAAGAAACCATATAAATGAGCACAATGAACTCAAACCCAGATACATCCGTGTTACCTTAGGCCACAAAACAGAGGTTGAGCAGATATTAGCAAATTGTTTTAGATTGAAGGATACTAACATTGGTATATCCAGAGACTTTCCCAAAGAGATATCTGATGCAAAGAAAAAACTGTGGCAACAATTTAAATCCGAACGCTCAAAACATGGCAGCAAGTATGTTAAAATCGTATATCCAGCTGCTTTGAAAGTGCGCGGCAAAGTTATCCTGGACATGTTCCCTGATCGGTGGGAAATAATGGGTAAATCACGCCACACCAATATTCAAGATAGGGTGAAAGCAACTGTAGAAGAAAACAACGACAAACTCTGCAATATTATCCAATCACAATTAGCAAACCAAGAGCCTCTTCAACGTACTCTACAGGGATATACAGTCCCAAGACCACCACTTCCCCCTTATGGCTCTCAAACTACTTCAACTGTTCAAGGGGTTGCCGGGCCTCATCAAAATGACATTTCGGTACACTCTTCAAATGGGCAACAGACATAAATCTAAACCGAGCCATTCTAACGAACAAAGTCACGAGACAAATTCAACAAATCCCCCCTTGCCTGGACAACAGAAAACTGCTCCCCATCTTCAGATCCTTAACTCTTCCAAAGAACGCTCGTACTCAGACGTCGTTACACATGGTGATCACGGAATGTCGGCTGCTGTAAGTGCAAACTCTAGTGTTGATTAGCACCTTAAAAGGACAGTATTTCCACGTGTAATAGTGATTTATTGACTGAAAGAACATTTGAGTATTCTAACCAAGATTGTAATGATTATAAGGTATTATCTTCTAAATGTAGTAATAACTTAAGCTCTGAAAATCTTCTTTTAAGTAATAGTTGTAATACAGTTCCCACGTCATACACAATCAATTCTGACGATAATGACAATATGTATGATTCTCACTTAAACTGTTACAGAAATATTGACTATATTTTGTGATTTATGTTTAAACTTACCATCCTCTTCAAATGTAACCAAATGTCAACACTTTATAAATATTGATCTTACTTGTGTGAGCAACTGTGAACCTAAATTACAGCCAAATATTGATTATCTTTGCGAAAACTGTATTAATCACCCTTCTTGTTCTAATTTTAGAAAGTGTGAACATTTTGATAATCAAGAAATACTGCCCCCAACGGATGAAAAAAATTCTAGGAATCCGAATTGTAAAAATTCTATTATGAAACAAGCAACGCGTTCAATTAAAATTGGCAGTTTAAACGTATGCGGTTTAAAACAGAAATGTTATTATCCGGATTTTATTTTGCTCGTACAATCCTTCGATATCTTGGCCGTCCAAGAGACAAAAGTTGACTTTTATGATATCATTGAGATACCTGGCTTTACTTTGTATTCGAAACCCAGGAAAGAAAGGTATATTAGAAAGTCTGGTGGCACCGGTTTTTTCTTGAAAAATGAACTTTTAGATTTTATTGAAATATTAAAATGTGATTCTGAATACATATTTTGGATAAAGGTTTCCCTGAAAAATGACAAATCTTACATAATTGGAACAATGTATATCCCACCTAGGCAGTCAAAAATTTTTAATGAAGACGAAATTTTTAGATTCGAAAATGAGGTCTCAGAGAAAGCAGCTGAATATAACTATTGCATTATACTAGGGGATGCGAACGCTCATTGTGCATGTTTGCCTGATTTTTTATTTTTTGATAGGTCAATTGCAAGAGGGCTTGATCTTGATGAAGATTTTGTTAATGACTTTAACTGTGTAGAAGATTTAAAACGGCTAAATATCCCCCTTCAAAGATTATCGCCCGATTCAAAGGTTGATGCCACGGGCTTAAAATTGATCGAAATTTGTCAAACCTATAATTTTTTTATATTAAACGGACGAATCGGCGACTCAAATAAATTCACTTTTAAAAATGTGTCTACGATTGACTATGCACTTGCAACATACAAATGTTTTCAGTATTTTACTGACTTTCGGATTTTAGAATCAGACCTTCTTTTCTCCGACGGCCATGCAATTTTGGTGCTAGAAATAATTATAGACATTAATAACTTGCCGCTTAAGTCACACGGTATATCCGCTTCCGACTCAGTTTTGAACGCACCACTTAAAAAAAAACCCAAATGGGTTAATGACCTTAAGTCTGAATTTGTTATGAACATCCAATACCCTGAAGTCGATAATATAAAAACCAAACTACAAAATATGCAACATACCCCATCCTCAACAGACATAAACGACATTGCAAATAATATTTCATCTATTTTCCAAAATGCAGCAAAATTAACCTTCTCATCGAAAAACACATTTAAATTTAAAAGAAAACCAAATAGTAAACCCTGGTATGGGTCTCAGTGCCAAAGATTTAGGCGTATGTACAATACCGCTAGAAAGAAGTACAACTTACACAAAAGTCATGAAAACAAACAAAATTTAGATAAGGCAAGTAGGTCATATAAGCAGACTATGAATAAATACATCAGTATACATAAATCACGAAATGAAAAGAAATTTCGTGCTATGCATTTAGGCCAACCAAAACAATACTGGAATCTCCTAAATAGACTCAAAAATAATTCAAAACCCGCCAAACGCCAGACATTGAGACTTTTTACAATCATTTTAAAAATATTAATACTGACGAAAAATTGTCAAACGTCACTGACCCGAACCTAGATTCGAACCCATTACATGTAGAAAATAACAGCCTCGATTCGGAAATAACTGAAGATGAGATCCGCAAAATGATATCAAAATGTAATAATGCCAAAGCAGCTTCCCCACAAGATTATATCTATAACGAATACATAAAAAGTACTAAAGAGTTTATGATACCTATCTATTGCTCCTTTTTTAATAAAATATTTGACTCGGGCGTTATCCCAGATAGCTGGCTTATTGGTTCAATAAAACCAATTTATAAAAAGAAAGGTTCACCGACTGACCCCCAAAACTATCGACCAATCACAATCCTCTCCTGCATGGGCAAATTATTTACAGCAATACTTAACGAGCGAGTGAAAAAATTTCCTTGATACAAACGGCCTTTTGAATGAGGACCAGGCAGGGTTTCGAACCGGTTATTCAACCACTGACCATATTTTCTCTCTAAAATTCCTCATTGATAAATTTAAGTCACAGAAAAAGAAATTATTTGTTTCATTCATTGATTTTTCTTCTGCATTCGATAAAGTTTGGCGGGCGGGATTATGGTGTAAATTACGAAATATAGGAGTACAGGGAAAATTATACCAGATTATATTTAACATGTACCAGAACATAAAATCCTGTGTTTCAAAGGATGACCTAGTTTCAATGTTTTTCGACAGCACGTGCGGCGTAAGGCAAGGCGAAAATCTTTCCCCGATTCTCTTCTCTATTTACTTAAACGATCTGGAACAATCTCTCTCAAGGAATAATGATGGTATTGTCTTAGAATTAAATGATAATGAAATTCAGTTATTTATTAAATTATTTGTACTGCTGTACGCGGACGACACCGCTATAATGAGCGATGATGAGGCTAAATTTCAAAACTTATTAAACGATTTTTATGAATATTGCAATAAATGGAATTAACAATAAATATGAACAAGACTAAAATTATAATATTTGGAACTAATAAACCAGATAGATACAAGTTTTTTTTCAAAGATGAACCTATAGAAATAGTAAAGGAATTTAAATACCTAGGAATTTTGTTCTTTTCGTCTGGAAGTTTTCTTTGCGCTCGAAAATCTATAGCTAGCCAGGCTAAGAAGGCTATGCATCTCCTATACACTAGAATATTTAACCTTGACCTACCAATTGACCTGCAGATTAAATTATTTGACCAGACAATAGTACCCATTCTTACATATAATTGTGAGGTGTGGGGAATAGAAAACCTTGATCTTATAGAAAGGGTTCATACAGAATTTTTGCGAAAAATAACAAAAAGTAAACGAAGCACCCCGCTTTCCTTCCTATATGGAGACTTGGGGAGAGTCCCACTAGAAATTGTAATCAAGTCACGAATTATTCAATTTTGGTGCAAACTCTTAGCAGGAAAAACAGAAAAGATCGCGAGAAAATGCTATGAATATATGCTCCACTCAAATTCAAGTTTTAAGTGGATCGATACTGTTAAATCAAT